CCCCCCCCCCCCCCCCCGGTGTCCTTCTCTTTGGCGCCTCTCGAACGACATCTCCCGATATTGCTGACCACCGACTGCCGACTGCCATTTGGGGGCCCCTGACTGTTGATGCTGCTGCTGCCGCTGCCACTGTCATCGCCGACACAGGCCTCCTTCTCCCTGTCTGGCAAGCGTCTGAACCCCACCAACCCCGCCAATAGCCAACTCAAATTGAGTGCCTATCGCCGGCGCTGGTACCACGCCTTCCCCATTGAGGCCGCCACCTCCATCCATTCGCGGCGCGTCGGTACGTCTTCCCATCGCCTGGCCGCTTGCCCGCCTGCCTGCCTGCCTGCCTGCAGGGGCCCTCTCGAATATTGACATCCCGGCCTCTGGACGTTCGGTCGGCCCCGACTCATTGATGCCGCCAGGCGCCCTGCCCAGGCCTGGGGCCGGGGGCGCGTCTGGCCGCGGGGCGCGATCTGGCCTCCTGTCCGGCCTCCCGCCGGCCGGCGCGTCAGCCAGTGTGGATGCCCTGCCGACGGCGTCGGAGCTGCTGCTCCTGGGGCCGCATGCCTTCGGCGACAGCGCGTCCGCCTCGACGGCGGTCTCCTCGCGCGGCGGCGACGGCGTCAAGTGGCTGTCCCTTTCAACCCCGGCCATTTTGCCCCTGACCACGGACTATGTCCCGACTGAGGAGGAGCTGGACAAGCATTACAACGAGTACTCCTACACCCTGTCCCTCTTCAGCAGCTACGATGACCAGCAAATATTCTACGACCGCATTGAGGCTCTTTTCTTCGAGCTCGTGGCCCAGCGCCTGGCTCAGGGGTTCCAGCTGATCATCCCGCCGACTTTCTCGGACTTGCGCCTGCTCGGATCGGACATCACCGGGCTCGGCGCCCCGGGGCCGGTGTTTGCCGGCTTCTCCGGCCCCATGCTCGGCGCCGGCGGGCTCAACCTGACCGGGGGAGGACTCCTTGCGGCTGGCGGCCCGGCCGACATCACTTCCCCCGGGCTCGTGCACGCGCCACCCTTCCCCCAGGGGCTGAATCCGGGCCCGGGCCCGGGTCCGGGGCCTGCTCCCGGGTTCGGCTCCGGCCCGGGCCCCGGTCCCGGCCCGGGGCCTGGCTCGAGCACTGCCAGTTCGAGCACCGCCCGGCCACATGCGCTCGATGTGTATGGCGGCGGCGTCACCGCCCTGGACATGCTCAGCAAGCCTTTCTACCTGTCGGTGGCCAATGACTTCCACCGGGTGCGCCTCTCCTCCGGCCGGCCGGCCTACCTGCCTCCATTTCCCAGCCAAGCGCGCCCTCAAACACTCCGAGCCCTCTTCGCCCTTCGTCTCCTCACCCCCCGCCCCCGCCCCCCGCCCCCCGCCCCCCGCCCCCTGGTCGCCTGAAGCTCAATCTCAATGTCCACACCCAGTCGATCGAGGTCCGCCGGTCGTCGCGCCGGTCCCGTCGCGAGGTGCCGAGTGTCACGTACAACTTCATTGTCTGGAAGCGGTACGATGTGCCGGAGGACTTTGTCGACGTCCTGGTGCTGGCCTCCCGCAAGCAGGGCTCCGCACATGCGGCGGCTCTGTTGGAGTCCGGCTCCCCGGGGCTGGAGGCCGATTCGACCGACCCAGCCTCCGACTCCCGGCGGAATACCCTCTCCGGCTCGAGCGAAGACCCGGCATCCATCGGGCCCAGTCGGTCGGCCAGCACGCTGGCTGTCCGGCGCACGGCCAGCGTCTCGCAACAGGTATCCTCCTCCTCGGCTTCGGCCTTTGCCCCGGGCCCCGGGTCCCAAGCGACCCCCTCGTCCGTGAGTCGGGCCCTGCTGAAGCCGCTACTTTCCTCGATGCAGTGCTATCGCCCGGCATCGGTGTCCTTCCAGTACTCGGAAATGTCCATGTACAACTGGAACCGGCTGGATCATTTGCTTGCCGGACTGGTGCCGGACGCCGATGCCCCGGCCCACAGCGATTCGCTGAAGTACTGGCGCACGCGCTTCACCCTGGTTCCCTGGCTGCCGAAGAAGATCGGCGCCGCGCGGTCCACCCTGCAGATGCAAATTTGCGCGCTTGCCCACCAGGAGAAGCTTGACGATGAGGAATTCCGCATCGCAGCCCAATTGCGCTTCGCCGAGGTCTTCCACCGGTATCGCCGCCACTCCCGGGACCAGGTGTCCTTCAGCATCACGGCCACCGGGGCCGAGCACGGCGAGTGGGTCAAGGTCGCCGGGCATCTGCAGCGGGCTCCCCCGGGCAAGGTGCCCACCCTGCGGCGTGGAGCCACCACCACCGAGATCGCCGCAGCCCTGATGGACCCCACCGGGTGCGTAGCCGGCCATGCGCGCATTCACGTGCGCCGGCACCTGTCCCTTGGTTGTGGCAGACTTGTCGGCTTGCCTTCTTTGCCCTGTGCCGCGCCGTCCGCCATTTCTCACCCCTCTCCGCCCCCCCTCCCCCCCCCCTCCCTCCCTGTTCAACCCGGGCTTCACAGTGGCGTTTCTCTGAAGAACCGCGTGTGGCACCAGTGCGTGTATGAACGCTGCATCATCGGCACCGAGCTCATCGACTGGATCCTGCTCCATGTTGAGGGGGTCGACACGCGGGAGGATGCGCTGCAATTTGGCCGGGACCTCCTCCGCCGCCGGGTTATCCTGCACGTCATCCATGCGCACAACATGATCGACGGCTTGTTTTACTACCAGGTGAATGAGATGCTTGTGACGCCGCCGAATGTCGAGCCGGCTGCGTCGGCTGGACTCGCTGCCCCGGCCCCGGCCGCTGGTGACACAGACACGGCCCTCGGCTCGGCCACCCCGCCGCCGGCCCTCGCGCAGCAGCCCTCCCCCGGGGTGGGCCCCCCGCCGGACATTGCCCCAGTTGAGCCCTTTAGCAAACGCTGGTTCCGGATCACCAAGAATTGGTCGGCCTCTTCGTCATATGTGTCGCTGCTTGGTGCCTCCTCGCCGTTATTGGATCTGAAGGGCCTTTCCGCCGGGGCGGCAGCCGCGGCAGCCGCCGGCCCTGCCCCATCCGCCGGCCCCGGCAGCATGACCGCCCCCTCGACACCGGAGCGCATGACCCCGAGCACCTTCCCGGTTCTGCCGCGGCAGAGCACGGCTCCGACATTGGCGGTCCCGGCCCCGGCCCCGGCGGCGGCGGCGCCTCTGCCTGCTGCCTCCGCCGACCCGGCAAACGATGCGACCCGGCGGTCCTCGGCCATCTCCCCGGCTCCGCCCAAACTGGGTGTCATCCAGAAGACCAAGTCCCTGGTGCTGGATGCGGATCCCTTGAAAAAGAGGTGCGCACGCGCGCCACCGCCCGCCCGCCCGCCCGCCCGCCCGCCCGCCCGCCCGCTCGGTGCCCGCTTCCAGTGACTGACTTACCTGCACCATTCCCCGGCCAAATGCCCCTCCTCCCGCGCTCCGCCACGCGAAGTGACCGCACCGAGTGGGCCTTCCTCCACTACGAGCAGCACTTTGACCCGGGGCTTTTGTATCACTTCGACCTGCAGTGGGTCGCCTGCACGGCCCGCATCCTCGAGGACATGATCCAACAATGGCAGCGCCGGGCCTCGACCTTTGGCATGACCATGGTCGAGGTCCCGGTGGCACCGGCTTACTCCAAGGTGGGCGATCCTTTCGGGTCCCTGCCGCAGGTGTCCTTTGCCCATCCCCCGCCCAAAATCGTCACCACCATCAACCGCCTAACCCGGCAGGTCCTTTACGAGCATGCCTTCCGGGGGACCTTCGCCGACCCGAGCGCTGGCCCGGGCCCGGGCCCGGGCGGGTCGTCTCCGGCGCTGGCTCCGCTGGACCACCCCTTCGACCCGCACGGGAGCATGGTCATCCCGGAAGCCCTGCGCCTGAGTGTGGCCACCTTCATTGCCCAGCTGCTGGACCTGCCGGCCACCTTCTTCGGCCACGAACTCCTGCTGAAGTTCGACTTCCTGTTGGATATCGGTGCGCTCCAATCCATCCGAACCATGCCCGCTCTTCCTCCTCGCTGCTCCCGGTCGCGCCTGCCCGCACACTGACCTCCTGTCTGTCTGCTTGTCTGTCTGCTTGTCTGTCTGCTTGTCTGTCTGCTTGTCTGTCTGCTTGTCTGTCTGCCTGTCTGTCTGTCTGTCTGTCTGTCTGTCTGTCTGTCTGCCTGTCTGTCTGTCTGCCTGTCTGCCTGTCTG